GGAGTCAGAGGACCACACCACTCGGCCATGGCCGTGCCCCATTTCTCGTGAAGCTATGGGTTGGAGAAGCACATCAACCCCCCACGTCTCCTGGTTTCTATCCCTTGTGCCCTGATCCCTGCCTCCCACCCAACCAGAACTATGGTACTGCCAGCAGAGGCCAGGCACATCCGCTACCTGAATTATCGTCCCTTCCAAGGTCATGTTCAGGTGGCTGGGAGTCGGGGAAGCCTGCTCACATCTGCGGTGAGGACCTGCATGCATCACCAACAGCAGCAGCTTGCCAGCCTCCTCCCGGACCTTGAAAAACGCTTCAAGTAACCAGAGCAAAAGTGATGCTACTTTCAGCTAGTCAGACTTCATTATGCCATAAACGGTCCGATTTTTTTTTTTCCATTATCCACAGAAGCTGCCAGGATGAGTTAAGACTCACGTGTGCACTGTGAATGAGACAAGCAGTAGAAATAAAAGATAAACAAAAAAAATGAAAATACCTTTACAATTATTCAGGGGCTCCAGGGAGGAAGAGAAGGAAAAAGCTTGCAAGCCTAATTCCCATCCTTTCTTTAGATCACCTGTATACAGCATCTGACTGCAATACCACAGCTAGCAATGGCCCCTTCTTTTGTTTGATGGCTTTTGTAAATACGAGGTTCAAACAGTGGCTCTAAAAAGTCTTGGCTGCTGAGTTACTGTGAAAAATAGTCAGAAGTTGTGCCGTCCCGTCCCACTGTGTGTCCTTAGGTAAAGCTCCAGCCGATCTCAAAGATAATATTCTTTCATGCTGTTTAAATATGAACACTATTGCTTTTTCAAAGCGTCATCAAAGCAGAGCTTCTTGATGAGATCCTGCCATCTAAACCTTTATCAGTGGCACAGTGCCCCAAAACACCACCCACGCTCCACAGGCAGCCCAAAGCGGACACGAGGGAAGAGCTCAGCTCTGCCAAGGGCCACGATGAGGTTAGGGCCTCTCCTCACAATCTGCAAAGAGCGATGCTCCCACTCACAGAACAATATATATCCTGAAAAATACCCTCATACCAGAAAGCCACTGGGGAAACGTTAAAAAGTACTCCCTCTGCAATAAGAACTAGGTCAATACATCATCTTACGAAGGAGGCGGCGGCTCTGTGCTGACGGCAATGGCATCATTTTTAGGCCGGTGATTAGCACAAACAGCTGACTGCAGGTGGAAGACTAATTCGGATGCACACAGTGGTCTGAAAGCTTTTGGGGGAAAAGGGAGAGTTTGCTACAAAGACCTACCTGGAGACCGTTGAGACTGACTGATGATCGCTGAAAGCGAGGCGAGGAAAAAAAAAATTACCAACTCTTCATTTATTTAAAACGAGAATATGACACAGGGGACAGCTGTGCAAAGTGAAGGTCGGGTCAAGTTCCCACCTAAGGACACCACGAACTGGAGGTTGGACAGCATCCAAGAGTGAAGCCTGTTGAGTTCAGGGGAAAAAAGAGCACCAGTATCCACAGGGCCACTGCCTGAGTCAAGGCAGGGACGACGACTAGGGATGTGGTGCTTAAACTGGTAAAAACAGGTCTTTCTGCTGCAGAGAAGGAAAACCCAGCATAAACTCAAAAGTACCTGACTGCGACAAGAGTATATGCAACTTGAAGCTCAAAACAACATTAAAAACTATTTCCAAATTAAAAAAAAAAAAAACCAAAACAAACAAACAGAAATTATACAAAGGAAGAGTCAAAAGCTGAAGACCTGAAATGAGTAGAGCCCAAACCTCGCAGCCATCCCCATAATTTGCTCCACTTCTTGCTTCTAAACCGTACTTACTCATACACCAATAACGCTGTGAATACAAATTAGCACCTTTTCATCTCGATGAAAGGCAGGCGCGTGGAGCTTTCAGAGACACCTTATCAACATGGGCAGGGGGAAACGAATGAAACATACAGGGCTAGAAACGTTTAAGGGGAACGACAAGTGAAGTAACACAAAATAGATAGAGGGAATCCAGCTGTAAACCAGACCAAATTTGCCACAGGTCCACAGTCAGCACCAGTGGCCGGAATGAGTTCAGAACAGACAGTATTATCTACTATTAACATGTAAGTAACTACAAGCCCAAATGATTTGCAAATGTCATGGTCATCAAGCAAACCTTGACTGAAGGACAGCCTGAATACCAACATTTGAAGATCAGTAAATCCAGAGATTCCTCTTTCAGGTCTAGTACATCTCAAAAAAAAAAACCGAAACACATTCAGCTGCCAAACACAGCAACAGGCCTGTTTAGGCAAGAACCAAAAGCACTTAAGTATAGCCTTTTTTTGAAGAAGAAAAATATGCATCACCAGTAAATCACTCGGCCCAGAATTGCAGCTGGTTCACAGTAACAGCAGATTTTACAACTTTTAACCACGGACTATGCTAAGGCGTTGAAGCCTATTCCCAGAATTGCTCACGTCTCCTAGACTTTGCAGCACAGAGATTAGGACTGGGTTTGCCAACTACGCTATCAGTTTAGGAAGTACAGCAATGATCTGTTGATCTCGGGAGTAAACTAGGACAGGATCCATTCCCCCCTCTGCCCCCAGCAAGCCCCTCACATGTTCTGTATAAAATAAGCTGAGAAAATTAACACTGGGAGCTCACTTTAAACTTTTTTCTAAACAGATCCTACTTCTTTACACTCAGCTCCACAAAGTAAAGTACATCCTTAGTCCAGCAAAGTCTTAGTCAACCGTAAAGGCAAAATGAAGGATTGGATAAGCAGGTCCACTGCTCTCAAATGTTTGTGCCACCCCCTTTGTTTGGCACTGTCCCTTTCAGGGCAAGGCAGCAGTGCTGTCTGGTTGGGGTGAGCCTCAACAAGAACCTTTGTGAAGAGCTAACGTTGCCATCGTGTGGTAACCTTCAGAAACAAAACTGTCCTCTTGCTTTCTGTATCTCCCTAGCTTTCCAAAAAAAAAAAAGAAAGAAAAAAAAAGGACAAATGGCACAACACCCATGGACTGAAAGGAAGGTGGACTACCTGCAGAAGGTTTCAGAGAGGTTTCAGGAGTTGCTAAAAGGAGCACCAGACGCTGCTGATGCAGAACATGGTGTCAGAAAGACACAGCGCAGGTATATTCAATTAGTTTTCTTCTGTTTCCTTCAAACTGTAAAAAAATGGTACTTTCACACAAGCACTGGATGGCAGACATGGTATTACAGAACCAAGTTTTCTTCTAAGGCACATAACGCTCTGTCTCCCTAACAGCACCTTCATCTTCAATGCCCCCCTTCCCCAGCATATCCCTTTCCGCAGTGCCGGGGCCGACACAACCAGCGCAGCAGCAGGCTGCCCTCCCTCTAGGCGTGTTTTGTACCCTTCAAAGGTTCTTGTTCAAGAAAATGACAGCTGTTAGGCAGCTTGGCAGGTTACAGCATGCTTTGTATCACGGAAATGTTTGATATCTCAGTAGCTGCCGAGTGGTACTGGCGGGAATGAAAACACTGGATAAACGGCTGCTGTCATTGCCGAAGTTATTCTTTGGAAGCAAGTTACCTTTAAAAATGGGTAAATAACATAGAGAAAGCATGTGGGAGCTCACTATGATTGAAGGCACATCTATTTTCTCTACAGGCACTTTTACCAATTTATCCCCAGTCTTATATACTTAAGCTTAACAGTAGTACATTAAAAAAAAAAAACACCCAACAACCCTAAGGAACAACTCTTTCACCTTAAAGGATCTCCAGGTTGCTAGACCTTTCAAATTACTGCCAAGAGTTGCAGAGTAGGTGGATTTAATCACTTTAAAATCCAATTTAGAAATCAAGATCTCCAGATGCTTAAACATGGGTTTTAAACTCAATTTGCATCACTTCTGATATTTTTTTTTCCTTAGCCATTATATCCATTCGTATCAACCATGTGCTTGAACTCCAAGGGCATATAAATAGCTCAAGACAACACTGCACAATTTTAAGTGTTTGAGCATGTAGATGCCGAATTCTGGCTGAAATAAGCAACACTAGCCATGTAACTTCTTAAAAGCACATGTTTCTAAAAGCACACACTTCTCAGTATATTTGACAATATATATTAAGGTCTTACAACCTTCATTTTTTAAAATATATATTCTCCCTCCTCCATTTTGTATTTGACTATAAAAATAATTTCCTTTTTGATTACCAGAGATGTCGGACTTCCACAATTTCTTCATTCAGTATGAAGAAAATATATCCCCTGTCAACAAACTACACAGGAGAAAACACATGAAAAGACAAGATGCTGACATTGAGATCTGTAAACATTATTTTATAGTGCAAAAACTAAATCAAGCACTTCAGTTTCAGATGGATTGAGTAATTTTTAGGTCATGCTCCCTTTTACTTAATGGCTTTGATTAAGAAGCAGGAATTGTATGCAGCCTAGTTTAAGGAACTGTAATTAGGCTCAGGTCTTCACATCAACTCTTAAACATTCTGAAAAGCAAGCATGCTTAAACACAACTCACCAATGTCCATCTCGTTAATACGTCACTAATTATTCTAACTGCACTGACAGGAAAACTGGGGTGTTAGACACCTGAAATAACTGAGTATTCCAGGTCACTACGTAAATAACGGTGGAAGTCTTTTAGAAAATATGGAGTAATTTAAGGCATCTGAACAGCAATTCGTCAGTCTTTCAAACACTGACATTTATATTCTAACCAGAACATATACTTTCAGCTTATGCCTTAATTTATACAGAAAAAATAGCGCAGCTAATTATTTCTCATCTTTCACGCTCAAGACTGCGCAAGTAATTTTGCTAATTCCCAACCATTTCAATAGCAGACTGTTTTAAAAAGTCAGGATCCAACCTATTTCAAATAACTGGATATGCAAATATTTCAACTGGTATTGGGTACTGGGTACTGAGCAGAGTCAGTATGGTCAACTTCACAGAACGTGACAAAAACGTTCCTGCGTGTTCCTGGGAAACACTAGAACCTAACACTTGACCATTAATAAATGAGACAGACAACAATTCTTGGTTAGAAGCAAAAGTGAACTTATGATTACAATTTAAACCAGGTGCTTAACCATTTGTCAATTTTAAAGGATCAGAACAAGGACGCAAAGTCATACATAAGTAGAAGTTCATTTTATTTCTGCGTCTTCTGTGCCTTCTGCACCTTCCCCGACTTCTGTGCCTTCTCTGGCTTCTCTGGCTTCTCTGACTTCTCTGGCTTCTTGCCTTTTTTAGAAGCCAACCTCTGGAGCTTCTTCATTTCATGCTTGATGATCCTGTTTCTCTGTAAAAAAGGAAAATGTTTATTACTCATCAGAATGAAAACAGGAAGAGCTCAAATATTATGCCTTGATTTAAATTCTAAGCTTTCAGATTCTGCCATTTTTCATAATCACCCTTTGCTAACCAATTATATCTATACAATATCGTCAGAGATTTACCATGTATTACATTTAAAATGTCAAATTCCACCTAAAACTGTTCTGATCTACCAAGCAGACAACAGCATTCTGGCTTATAATTTGGGCACCCCAGTATTTCATGTGTAATGACTTTCATTACAGAATGAAATACTACTAACAGCCAGCCATCAAGAATATCCGATTTCATCAGCAGGTAATTCGTCCCTCAGTTGCAACTTGGAGGACTGACACCCAGACAGTGTGGGTTCAAGTTTGATCAACTACTGAAGAGAAAGCAGTGGCTAAAGCAGCGTGAAAAATTCAAGGCATTTACATACTTTGTGCCACTCCATAACCCAAGCCAGTTATAAAAGTAAGGCTACTAACATCTCTATGTGACTCTAAAGTGAAAGCTACAAGCACAAACCCCATAAAGAAGTGACACTCAAACACTTACCATTTTCTTTGCTTTCATAACCTTGTAGCGATCAAAGTCAGTCATTTTGGCTTTCTGTTTGAAAAGAATCAGTCATTAAGCTCTGATACATACATGCGCAAGTAGTAAAACACAGTGTTTCAAAGCATTCCACAAGTTACTGACCATCTCCAAGTTAGGTTTAGCTGCACATCTGGAACTAGTTCATTATTTAAGGCCTTTGCTGGGAAGAGATGGTGCAGGAAAGAGGTCCTTATAGAAATGATTGAACCAAAACACATTTACTGTTAAAATACAAGTTGAAGCTGACAGGTAGCAACTTATAAAAATCTATGCCCTGTCTATCTTTAATCTTAGCTTGCAATTGAAAACAGTTTATTAGATTGCACCTAGTTTTAATAAGCAGCAGTACAACATGTTATTACTCATCCAGCGAAAAACTCTACCTTTTCTCGGGCTTCAATCTTCTTTGCCCATCTTGTCGCTGCCCATTTTTCATTTATATTTTCCTTCTCCCAGGCAAGTCGCACACACTTCTGACGAGCACTGCATTAGAACAGTCACAAAATCATATTCATAGTCTTTATAAAAAAAGGTTTTCTCTGATGCTGACCCATCAAAATTTCATACAAGGGAAGATCATCCTTCTACATTACTTCAGACACTTACTTTAAGCCAATGGCACATACATCTCTGCGGCCTAACTAACATTTCGGTGTGTAAATGCTTTGCTGGACTGACAGATGAGCGACTCCAAGAGGCATACTCACGCACTATTCCTAGCACTGCTTCAGAATCAGAAAGGCAGCAATTTTTTTTCCTAAATTACAGAAACTCATGTAGTAACTAAGCCAAAGAGAACAGAGCGAGTTCAGCCTCCTGCGATTCCAGTGTAGTTCTACAGGCAGGGAACATATTTAATGTCTGAAGGTGACATAAGCAGGAGCAAAGACAAAGCTGCACAGTATTTATTGCAACTGCTCCCTCCCCCCACCATCCACCCCACAACTATCCGCAGGTTGCTTAGGCCAGCGTGCTATTCCCTTTGCTCCCAAGCAGCGGTTATCAGCCAATATCGGTAACGAAAACTTAAATGTATTCAACTATGATAACAGTCTGACAAATTTTTACTGTGCATACAGATTAAGCCATTAACTTAACGTTGTACAAACTTTCTAGATTTAGCAAGCATCGGATCACATAATTCAGTCATGAAGTCACAGCATAGGTTTTTTGGTGTTTTTTTGTTTGGTTGGTTTTTAACGCAGGTCACAAAAATGCCAACAACTCACCTGTGTGGGAACTTGAGAACAAAGTCAGTCAGCTGCATGCACTTGAAGGGCATAGCCTGCCTTCTGACACCACTGCAAGGGCCATCAACTAGTGCCTGAAAAAGGAAAACAGGGGTGGGGCTTTTGTAGCAGTTTTCCCATCACACTTGATTTAGACAGCAGCTTCTTATTAACACAGGAATAGCATCTTGACAACAATGGTTCAAAACTGAAATAAATGTTATGCAGACAAAACCTGAGATTGTTAAGTCTTGCATATACAACCCAAACTTTACAGAAAGAATTTTAAAGGCCCATCTTTGTCTTTGGAAAAAACCCAAACTGAACTTCAAAAAAAAAGCACACAGAACTAAGATGACATATTTCATCTTCCCCCCTCTCCAACCCAGCTTTTTCAGGAACATTAGCAAAAAGAGTCTCCTAGCCCAAATGTTTGCTCTAAACATACAGTAATGACATTCCGCTCCCAAGTTTTAGACTCCAATTGACATCCCTTGTCCACTTCTACTTGTAGGAAACATGGCAGAGAGGGGAACGTATCACTTGCCACTGAAAAACAGCTTGCTACTGAAAGTTTCAAGTACAACAACTGCTGTTAAATCCCATCTTTTTGTCAACTGCTCTTTTCTTTGAAAAATCTATTCACAGAAAGTTTCCTTTAAAATCGATACACTGTCTTAGTGTACAAGCTTCTGTTAAGGCAGGAAGGAAAAAGTAAAGGTACAGCACGCATAGCTTACCCTATTTTGGTCAATAACATCCACAATGGCCACCAGCTTGCCAGCATGCGGCCCGAAGGAGATGAAGGCAACTCTGCCAATCTCGACGAAGCGTTTGAACACCTAGGAGCAGCAAGAATTGACAGGAGTTAGGCGAGAATGTACCCAAGGCTCTCTCACAGCCTTTAAAACAGTTTCCCAAGCCTTCGAACCTCACAAAATCCCTTCTCTCGAGTAAAGGGCCCACGGGAACGCCCTCAACTACTTTTTGCCGGCCCGGGCCCTGCGTGGAGACGGCGGGCAGGCGGAGGAAGAGGCGCCGGGGAGAAGCAGTGAGCCCCACGGACCGCAAAGAGCCGGAG